CAGAACATCAGTATATCAGAGTAAGTGTTGTTAATGATCTCTCTTGTCCAACTTTGAAAAATGCCCGGCCCTTCCAAATACTTGGAGCAAATTTTTATTCCTTTCTGCCTACTTGAGTCTTTGGTAATGCAAGATCAACTTTGCTTCTTTTGAACCAGTATGAAATATCAATGAAACCATTGTTGTCAGAAGGAAAATACGGCCCCATTTCATTAACTTGGGAAGAGGGCATCCATGCTTTTAGAAGTGGCCACGTGCCACGTTCTGAACTTTTCTTTAAGCATACTCTGTGGTGATCGCTTTTGGACTTGTTGAATTTGTTCCTTTGACCAGGAAATCAGACTCCTGGAGAAGTTTTTCTCCCATGACTTTATAATTTCTGGAATTTTAGGAGATTTGGAACTGATCGGCTTCAGAAATTCCAACTCTGTTCCTTATCACTCTGCTGCTCAACCTGCTCAACCTTTTCTCAGAACCCCTGATCCTGTGCTGATGTGGACAGCTCCTTCTAGAAACACAAACTCAAACTCAGGCTACTGTGGGAATGCCATTTTGTTATAAGGAGCAGAAATGCAGGGGGGAGGCATGGAATAAAATTTTTCCTCTCCTCTTTCAAAAAACAAACACATTGGGGGAATCCAAAGGCAATGCATTTCCTTCTCTGCAACCGGTTTGAACACACTTTCTCATAAACTGAAAACATGATGTTCAAAAACCAAAGTATCAACTAGAATTTAGATCCCACATTCTAAATCTTGCAAAGGACTCTTTTGAACAACTCCGAATGGAATTATGATGTGTTAACATTTCTAAAATCCTATTATATTGCTGTTTTGAGTTATTTCCAGGAGCTCATTAAGCTACCTTCTTTGAAGGATATTGAACAGCATGGCATCATTTACAAAAAGCATGCCATACAATTAACTAAGAAAAGTTATTGTATTACCAAATGAATGCTAAAAACCAAGGTCATGGATGGATTTTGGCCACAGGTAAAAGCATTGATTCCCAGTCAACCCATGACAAACCCTAAAGTCTGAATTCTTCTTCCAGATGTGTGCAGCCTTTGGTAAGGAAAGGGTCCTATCCAGTGCAAATGCTTCCACTGATGTTCTGCCACATTGGGGTCAGTCCTTTTTTTCTGTTTTCTTTTTTTTTTTTTTCCACCAGGTATATACTTTTTTTTTTTATCATACAAATTGGGCAGATCTTTCCTGCATTTAAAAAATCCAGTGTTTTTTGGTCCAAAAAACTATTGTCTATTTCTTGACTTGAATTAATGTGTTTTGTGGAAGTACAAGCGGTAATTATACAAGATTTCCTTCCCTGTCATTGGCAGCTATCACCAGGGAAATTTACAACCCCCAATATCCAGATCTGGAAACTGGTTATTTTTTTTTAATTTATTTATTTGTTTATGCATACAAGAACTAGGGGGTAAGCCAGAGGTGAGGGGTTGAGAGGATTCACCAGAGACAGAGTGGGGAGCAAAATAGGCAGATGTACTGAAATACACTGCTGAGGGGAGCAGCAGGGGAGGCAGGAGAGGTCTGCTGCCCCATGTGGGTCACCTCCCTGGCCAGCCTGGGATTAAACTCTGCTGCAGTGGCTGTGGATAGCTTGATAGCACTGTCTTTAATCCCTGCACCACCAGGGAGGTCCCTGGACACTGGTTATTAAACTTCATTAAGGGAAATCATGACAAGGCAAATGGAATCTGAACAAGGACCATCTCTGAAGCAATTTTTGTGAGAGAGTGGCCAGGAGTCAGCAACTGACCATCACTTTTATTTTGTTAAACATTTTTATTCCTTATGATCATATTACTACTAATTTGAGTTATAGCTCCCATTTATTCAGAATCTATCATATGGTTGGCATTATGTTAAGTGCATATTTGATCCTTAGGGGGAAAAAAGCCCTTCTAGAAATTGTTATAATTTTAGCATGAGAAAACAAACACAGTGAGGCTAAGTAATCAGTCCAAGATCACTTGTTTGGGATAGGGTGGTATCAGGATTTTGATAATTCCAGAGGTTGCAAATTAAAATATTTTCAGGGATCAGGCAGGTAACACACTAAGTAAAGTTAGCAGGTGTAGCATTTCAAATAGAAATGAGGACAATGGAGAAATGGGAAATATTTTCTAAAGTTTTCCAATTTCCCAGACTCCAAGCCTGCTACTACTGCCCTGTGAAAAAAATTCTAAGACATAGCGCTAGGCAGACAAAGAAGTATCCAAAGTCTTAATTCATCCCATGGGCTCTAGTTTTCCAAACTCTGTAATTTGAGCCTGGATTAATGTTTAATGATGTTAACTATTTTAGAATAACTTTTAGAAATGAGATATACACACAAAAATGCACACAAATCATATCACTTGATGAATTTTCATAACCAATTTTAAGGTCAAGAGTCAGAATATGACCAACCTTGCCAGAAACTCTGCTCTGTGCTTTTATCAGTTACTAACACCAGAAAGGCTCACCACTGTTCTGCCTCCTAATTCCATAGATGGGTTTTGTCACTTCTTGAGCTTTATATAAATGGAATCATAGTGTATGTTCTCCTATGTCCATTGGTTTTCCCTAATATTTTGTGAGAGTCATTGATGTTATGCTGTGTAGCAACAGTTCCTTCTTAAGTGCTTTTGTTTTTAAATTGATCACTTAATATATTCACCCAAATATTGTGTATCCAAGTAACTAAGTAAAAATTGAAATAAGTCACAGTAGGACTTTATGAGGTTTATGGAGAGAGTTTTGTTAAAATGTTTTCTTCCTGAATATTTTCTCAATGACTGGCTCATTCTTTCCTCTGTTACTCCATGCCAGGTCGGTAACATATGCTTTGCTCCTATTGGTTAGATTCTGAAACAAAGGCACATGGCAGTTACACCATCACATGCTACCCTAAGAACAAGGATCACAAAATAGTCATCAAACTGAGAGTTTAGTTAAGATGTCTTGACGCTAATCTAATGCAGTGTCCCTCTGACTACTGATTTGAACAGGCAGTAGTGAAGATCAAACTTGCAACATGACAGCATGTTGTGTGGGTTCCAGTGGAGATGAACCCAAGTCTCATCTCCTCCATTCTATCTAGAGGATCCTCTAAGAGGAGGGGGTTGCTAAGAGTTGGATTCAAAATCACATACCATCTGGGGAACCCTGGCAGAGGTATGTAAGCTCCCTGAAATTCCTTTTCTTCATATGTACCTGTCTCATGGGATTACCATCAGGATAACTGAGTTTTTGTCAGCAAAGCATTTAGCACAATGCTGGCATCAAGTCGGTGTTGTGTAAATGCACACTGTTACTCATCATCCCTCACTGTAAAATGTGGATCATGACCGTCTCTACCTCTTGGGACTATTGTCAGAATAAATATTAGTTCTGAGTTCCATGGCTTGGCTCCTAGAAAATGCTAATAATGTTCAATTACTTTTATTCAGGTTTACTTAGTAATATGACTGTGATAAAGGATCAGCAATTCCAAGAATTAGGGCGTCTCTCCAATCTTTTGTAATAGTTGTTCACACATACTAGAGGCTGTCAGTGTTGATTTTGTTGATTTTTATGGTCAAAACCAGAGGTGGATTCAAATTATGTCTCCATGCATTAATGGAACCAAAGGTATGGACTGGCTTGCAGTTGAATCTAGAGCTGTGTGGGCTAGACCTTTCTTACCTAAACTACTGGTTTATGAGTAAAGAAGCAGAGGCTGCACCCGACCAAGTGGGTTTACATAATCCGACTTGCTGTTTTAGTAAGTCCTAATGAGATAAAGGAATTCTTGTCCAACAAGGATTCTTTTTCTACAAAAAGGCAACAAATGCAAAAGACAAATGACTTTGCAGGTTGTTCCAAATGTGCCTCACTATGAGAGAATCCCACACCTCCTGACTTCCTGTTCAGAAAGCATAGACACTAAATGATATTTTCCCTATGTTGTCAAGGGCCAAGTGGGGTGAGATTTTTGTCCCATTCTCTCCTGAGTCCTTATGGACACATATTCTTGTTTCAGGATCTTTGGGGCATGGTCTTAGATTGTGATGAATTCACCACGTATGTTTGGATCAGTCACTTCTGACTGGATCTGTTTCCTCTTCTGTAAAATGTGTTGGATTACATGATAATCTAACCTATTTTCTAGCTCTGATAATCAATGAACATCTAGATTTCAATAATGGTCAGAATTGGCAGTTTATTTCCTGGAATATAAGAGACACCTTTACAGAAACTAGGAGCTGCTTTGCTACCATGATCCAATTGCGGGCTGTGAAGGTTGGTGCAATTTTGTGTGCGTGTGTTTTTCTGGATGAATTTGCATATGTATCCAGGGCTGTTATCCCTGCCTGCCCAGATTTCTTATCCTTCTCTTCAAGAACAGAGACCATAATTTCCCTCTGGAAACTGCCCCCACCCTCATATCCAGTGAGGCTGTTAATCACTGACCTTACCCACCCAATGCACTTGAAAAAGCTAATCGGACTCAGAGTCCCTTTGGGGACAGTATGGGTGCTAGGAAAGGGAAGGTCTCTCCTCTCAAAGACAAGAATACTGCAAGTTGTTGGGCATTATCTTTGTCACCAAATGGAGAGAACCTACCAGGGACTTAATTCAATTCCATGGAAACAGTGAAGAAAACAGGGAGAAAGGGAAAGGTGGAGGGAAAGAGGAGGGATTGAGAGAGAGAAAGAGAAAGGCAAAAAGGGAAGGCAAAGAGCAAGGGCAGGAAGACAGGCGACACCAACAGTGACTTAATTTCTTAATACAGACTTCTAGATCCAACTATGGATAAAGGGAAAGTCACACTTTGGCGGCTCCAGGAAAATGAGTCCATGGCTTCCCTTTTCTTTCAAGTCCACAGGCTCTTCAAATCAGGATCCCTGACCCCAAAAAAGATTAGAAACCTCTGGAATTAGAGTATTTATTAGAGATGGAATGAACTTACTTCAGAAAGAAACAAAGTTTATTTGATGAATATAAATAAGGCGATCAGCACAAAGTACTTCTCATACACATGATAACAAATTTATGAACTGTACATACCTGCATGTTGTACTTCTACTAGACACGAGGTTACAATGACTGGCTAATACATGCCCACTGGTAGTTTCTGAGGGTTCCTTAATTTTATTTATTTTTTTTCATATCGAAGTCCATAATCACATGGTCAATATCACAACCCACATGCCACTCACTTAAAGAAATATTACAAGAAGCACTATCAAACTAGGGTCTCAGGGAATTAGATACACTGACCCTTGGCAGCATTCAAACGCCACTCTACACAAAGAACATCTCAGATAGGGCTTATGTCAACACTTCGGAGGTCTCATCATAAACACTGTTTAAAAAGTAAATTGAAACCCATTTTCAAATGAAAGTTGACACGCTGTTAACGTGCATACTGAATACACAAAAGTTAGTAAATACAAAATCGAGACTGTACATCGAAATCAAATGGGGTATAAAGTACAAGCCTGCTTTTGCACAAAGTAAGAAGACCAACTTCTCCTAAACGTCAGCCTCGACTTTTTTTTCAACTTCTTTATGATTAGAGGGGAACCTGCTAAAGTTTGCACAAAGGAAATACCTCTCCAACATCACAGTGTTTGTTGTAAACCCAGAGACTATTTCAATATGTGAAAAAGGATTTTTTTTTGGTAACCTCCCCAACATCAGAGAATATTACATGGAATGGAAAAAGATTCTATGCTAGACAGAATTTAAGATTTAAGAAGCAAAATGATATGTCCCCAATAAAGGTAAGATCAAGAATACTTTAAACCAACAAAGTTGGGGCAAAAAAAATATCCCCTAAACAACAGCCGTGACAAAATTGGCACATACTTAGAAATAACTATCTCAACGTGGTTGTTGCTTTTCCTGTTTTCAGGACCCCCATTTCCCCTGGTGGATTTCTTATTTCAAGTATTCAGTTGCAGAGTTCAGTTCAGGGCCTTTTTGTAGGCGACAGCGAGGACCATCTACTCAAGGACTCCCAAACTGTTCACGGGGATGCGTTTGTGGCCTGGGTTTTTCAGTGTGACATTATGTCAAAATGTGCTAAATATGCTTGCAAAGAACTTTGCTCATTTCCTCCAATCAAGACCTTGATTGCTTTGATAGTTAAAGGACAAACTTCTTAAACATGAATGTATTTGGATTGTTTATGCAACACGTAAGCTTCACATAGTTCGCTATACTTACTGACGACAAGAACAAAGCCAAAAGCAAGAAACCTGCTTGAATATGTTATACCCAATGCACCGACCAGGTGCCAATCAGGGACAGTTTCATCTTCCCCGACAAATAAGATGTCTGTCTTTTGAACATCTCTATGGCTCACGAGAGAGGTCCAGAGTTCATTGCACCAACATTTTAAAAATTAATCATAACAAGGAAATTCAATGCAAGACTTCAGGAACATATGTTTAGAATCCTTTCCACAGCAGCAAAGAAAGACAACTATATTTATTAAGGCCACTCATGCTTAAATTCACTGTTTGTCCTTTAAAAATGCAGATTTTTTCATCTCCTACTTGCATACATGTGGAAGAGTATCTTCCATTGACAAGAAAATGGATCAATACAAGAGTTGCACATGTTTGCCAGACTTGGTCATGAGTTCTATGAAGTTCTAACAACTTAAAATTTGTTTTAATCTTCAGAGTAAGCAGTAGGAGTTTAATTCTCCTTAGTACCGTGTCACTGTATGTGAAAGACCTCAAAATTTGGTCTCCTTCCCTGGCATGTGCTTTAAATAATGACTCTGTACTCACAAACATGTTGTGTAGAGCTATATACAGGTACACAGCTTTTGTGATTATTCCTCATTCATCAATGTTTTCGAGTTTTATGCTGAAAAGGCTTTGGAATCCATGTTATAGACATTTTTAAAAAATGAGAAATGAACCTTCGTTTACACAAGATCTAAGCTTATACTGTTTGCACAGCATTTGGATCTTGAAATGAGAATGAGTCCCAGCTTCTTCATGGAGACCTGCATGTAAGGGAATGGAAAGAGTCTGAGGCTTGGCCACATCCCAGCTGTGGGGATGCATTCAATACACAGAGAGAAGTAGGCAGGTGCCTCAGGCTTTTGCCACTCTCCAGTACATAAACAGGGTAGATAAAATCATGAATGATTAATTTAGATGTGCCATGCATTGTCAGAGACACACACCATGTTCTCATAAGGCGATTTCTTGGCAAGTATTAGTGGTTTAAAAAATTGATTTCATTTCCAACCTGGCCCAGAGGTAACTACTGGTTACACCATCAAAATATGGTTCTTCAAACAGCAGATTAAAGAAATAGAGGAGGGTAAAGGCTCGCCGTTTTTGGTGTGTTGGTTTCTTTGTCAAACACTCCACGCATCTTGGTATACAAACACTGCCAACACCACTCACTCACAGAGAATTTACACTTTTTGATAATCTAATGCATTAGGAATGACCACTTCGACTGAACCAGCAGAAAAACTGGAGATGAAGCTAGTTGTCCAACAGAAGCTGAATCCACAGTTCAATCCCACGGAGCTCAAGTTTATCTGATGATGTCTAAACAACATAATTAAATGTTATCAGATAATGACATTCAGAAGAGATGATCACATGTTCAATGCCCAAATCCAGACCAAATATGGGGGATCTGTCATTTTTGTCTTCTCCACATTCTTCCTTTCCCATACATCTTAATCCATGAGAAAGGACATAGGATGATGAAGGAAATATCAAGTCAAACAGAAACATGCTCAATAATGAAAGTGAAAACTCCTCTTGAGTCCTGATGAGCCATTCCAGGTGGTGATGGACAGTGATGTGAGTCGCACTGCAATAGATTATCGGAATATTGCTGCAGAGCTGCGTTTTCTCTTTATTCAACCCTTCTGATAGCTGCAAAAAGAAAGTACATGATTTAGCAGGGAAAGAAACTGGCACTGGTGTCTAAGATAACCCTGACAGCTTCTCTCTCCACCCTGCACCAGCCTCTCTACCATTTTTGGTTGGGGTTGGTTGGGGTTGGGGCTGGGAGTGAGTAGGCAATGGGGAGGACGCATGGAAGAAAGACAAAGTAAACAGAAAGTTAAATTGTTTCCTGCAAACACATCTGAGAAGAGGCCTCTGTCAAAATATGTCACATATAGATTTAGATATCTCTTAATATGCAAAAAGAAATCAAAAGAAAACATGCCAAAATGTCCAGTGGTTATTTCTATGTGGTCAGATAATATTTTTTTTTTCACACCACACTTTTCTACAATGACTATGCTTTTTCAATTATTTTTTAACTTGACCTTAGAGAGATTAGAGAAAGCCTGTCAAGACACCAGAGAACTTAATGTTCACTTACAAACCATGTAAGAGCAATAATTTAAGAGGCTATTGGATCTAGCAATCGACTTTTAGGTATATACCCAGAAAATGCAAAGCAGGGACTCAGCTAGCAATGTGTTCACAAATGTCCACAGCAGCATTACCCATAATAACCAAAAGGTAGAAACAACTCCCAAGTGTCTGTCGACAGATGATAAACAAAATGTGTTACATACAAAAATGGAATTTTATTATAATAAAATATTTAGTCCCAAAGAAATGACATTTTGATTCATGCTATAACATAGATAAACCCTGAAGAAATCATGTTCAGTTAAATATTCCAGACACAAAAGGACACTTACTGTGATTCCACTTCAATAGACTCTAGAAAATAGATTAGAGGCTACCATAGGCTTGGGGGTGAGGGCTGGGCTTGGGGGAGATGGGAGTGTGGAATTATTCCTTAATGGTTACAGTTTTTGTTTGGGGTAATGAAAATGTTCTAGAAATAGATAGTAGTGTTGGTTAGATACATTTAATGCCACTGATTTATACACTTAAAATGGTTAAAACAGTAAATTTTGCTATGTATATTTTACCACAATAAAATTGTTTTAAGTATATTGATATGTTTTTAAATACAGCAGAATGAAATAGACCTGGCTTTTATTCCCACATCAAATGGTATGTGCTTCACACCAAACAGAAATACATCAATCTTCCATTTGCATATTTCATGCCTGCACAATAGGTACTCAGAAGTGTCCCAAGTTTTCTCACTGTCCCAGTACCATGAAGCCTGGGAAGAAACAATAAGATGAGTAAGTCAGGAGAGGTTCACCCCACGTAGACCTTTCAAATCATGACTTTCTCCCCAGCTGATGCTTAATTTGGTATAACTGGGTTGTTATCACCAAGCCTTAGATACTTTGGAAGTTTCTAGGCATATGTCAATAGTCCAGCTGTCGGGGAATATAGCAGATCAAGCACACACACACGCACGCATGTACACATGCATGCACGCACACACTCATGTGAGTGATGTTTTATATATAGCCGGCACTGTCAGATTTGGTGTTTGCTATACAGTATTTCTCAATTTGCACTCACTATTAACTGCATCAAAGATTCAGTGTCTACGCAGGTAGGCAGTGACTTCAAGCCATCTCTAAAGAGTGCAAGTGAAATATGTGGCTTGGATGAACTCTGCTAATTCATACTCTGAGGAGCTTGGTGTAACCCTTCTGGTGAAGAAACTTGAATCGGGGTAAAAAAAAATTACTTTTGCAGAGCCAGAAAGCGAGGGAGTTCCTAGAGCAGATCATATTACTCATTCTGGCACATAAAATCTCTGTAAACTTTGTATGAAAATTGTAAGTCAGAGCACGCTTTCTGCTTCATGAGCTGTGCATAGCTCTAATTCTTTTGTGCATTAAGCATTTCTTAATCATCCTTTTAAAGGGCTGACCAATATATTAAAAGGCTACATGATTAAAAGGTAAAGAGAAACCCAAAGTAGTACTAAAATGCACCAGTCATATTTTACAGATGGTGAAACGAGTGAAAAATAATTACAGCGAATGTCCGATGTCCTTGATGTTTTTCCAAGATAAAGTAGCAAAGAACAATCATTTATTCAGTAGAAAGAAAGATTTCCAGCTGGGTAGCAGGTCACAAGGCAGAATACGATGCCTTACCACTGCAGAGTGCTGCTCTTGGGTAAGGTTGATGCTGTAAGGTTATGCTGAGAAGAGAACTCTCAAAAAGCATTGCCTTTCCTTCCACCAGACAATCCATTCACTGGGAAGCCTAAATGGATTCGAGTTAAAAAAAACTCCCACGATATTATCAGCCATTGGAAATGCAAATGATCCCAGTTGAGGGGCAAGTAAGCACATAATTTAAAAAAAGGAATTAAATTTAAAAAGGAATCTTGGCTTCCAGCAATGTTGTGACTGGAGAGTCACTCATTATGAGAGACTCTCTGGCCAGTCCCCCTTCACCTGGATGGTCACAGCAGGTATGACCTGTCCCTGGGCGTCTGCCATCACAGCATCCCAGCGCTGCAATCTCCCCAGGTGCTGCCAACAGTGCAATTTCAATGAGGACATCTACTTCATGAGCATGCTTTGCAACCCTCCTTTACAATCCCCCTGCCCTCAGGATGGAGCGGGAATTCCTCATGATGCTGGCGAGACCCCATCTGGCCTCCCTCTCTCTTCAGTTCCACTCTTCATGTTCCACTAATGCTGAACTTGCTTTTGCAGTCCTAATGCTTTCTTTACTCCTCTTTGCACAAACTTGTCTGTCTCACATGAATTGATATCACCCCTTGAACAGATTGATTCCTATTTATTCTTCAGTATCAGTTTAGAAGCCATTTCTTCTCTGGAACCCTTTCCTGAACCTCCAGTGTGGGATGTAGCACACACCCTGTATGGTTCCCTTCTGGTAATTTCTAGACTTTTACTGTCCAGTATCATAGCCACTGGCACATGTGGCTACCAAGCATTTGAATATGGCTAGTCTGAGTTGAGATATGCCATGATTATAAAATATACACTGGATTGTGCTGATTTTTTTTATGAAAAAAAAAAAAAGAATGTAAACTAACCAAGTAATCATTTTTATATTGATTTCATGTTAAAATGATATTTTAGATATATTGGATCAAATAAAATGTGCTATTACAATTAATCCCTTCTGTTTCTTATTACTTTTTTAAAAAAGATTTATTTATTTATGCATACAAGAGCTGAGATACAGGCCAGAGATGCAGGGGGTGAGGGGATTTACCAGAGACAGAGTGGGGAACAGAACAGGCAGACTGAAACACACTGCTGAGGGGAGCAGCAGGTGAGACAGGAGAGGTCTGCTGCGCCATGTGGGTTGCTCCCTGGCTGGCTGGGATCAAACTTGTGCTGCAGAGACTGCGGATTGCTTCCTAGTGCGATGCTTAACCCCTTGTGCCACCAGGGAGGCCCCTGTTTCTTATTACTATTTTTTAAGTGACAACCAGGACACTCATGACTGCAGATGTGGCTAGCACTGTTTGTACTGAACAGCCCGGGTCTAGACTAGAAGCCCTCTGAGGGCAGGAGGTGGCGAGTCTTACTCACTTAGCATCCCCTGTGTCTGGCATCATTCATGAAACAAACTGATTCACTCATTCCTTCCACAGGTATTAGTGAGCACCTAGAGAAGGGACAATCTAAAGTCAACCTCACCCCCAAGATTTGCTGCTCTAATGCCTGGCATCAGGACCATGGATGTCTCCTGCCATGATTATGTCACCTTCCAATGTAATTCTCATCACTAATCAGTTGAATTTAAATTAAACAAAAGGGAAATTGTCCTAGTAGATCTAATTTAATCACACAAGCCCTTTAGCGGCAGAGATTTTTTCCTTGCTGGTAGCAGCAAAGAAGGTCAGGGAAATCTGAAATAGGAGATGGGTTTTGCTGTGTTGAGGTAGAGGAGGCCACAGGCAAAACCCTGAAAATGCCTTAGAGGATCAGAGCGTAGACCTGGTCACCAGTCAGCACATAAACAGGGACTTCAGTCTGATAGCCAGTAGGAATTGAATCCTGCCAACACTTAGAATGAGCTTGGAGCTGGGCTCTACCGCAAAGGCTCCAAATTAAAGTTCAGGATGGCTGACACCTTGACTTAGGCCTATGAGACCCCAAAGAGAGAAGCTGACGGAGCCTGGGTGGCTTCTGTCCAGATGACTGTTTGTGATGCAGCAATCAAAAACCAATATAGCTCCTTTGTGTCAGGTAGTGTGCTTAATGACAGGGATGGAAAGGCAAAGCAGACAAAATCTTTGTTCTCACGGAGTCTATATTTTCAGGAGGAAGACAGACAAATAGATACACAAATGAATAAAGGAGTGAGACTTTTAAAAAATGGGTGCCACAAAGAAACTGAACTGGGGCCTGTGAAAGGGATGCATAAGATTGATTGGTTATATGACATTTTTGATGTTGATTTTTTTAATTGAAAAATGGCCACAATTTGTTAGTGAGACAAGTAGATTATAATGCTATTTGTATAGTTCGATCCCATTGGTGTACCAGCACACACGTAAGCACAAATGCTTGCCAGTGCACATACCAGAATTTATTTAATAAATTTCTCTGGGTGGCATTTTAAATTTTTCTCCTTTAGAATTTTTGTTGGTTTTGCACTTTTTGAACTTTTTAAACCAAATAATGTGTAATTAGTATCCCTGTAGGAAAGAAAGCTGTTTCCATTGTGGAAAATCTTGACTTGGTTCTTCAGAAGGAAACTCTGCAGTTGCTGTGCAGGGGTGGGGGTGCCGTGGAGTTGGGGGGGGCGGGTAGGCCAAGCGCTGTAAGATTCCACCTCCGGACAAGGGTCCCCAAGAGAGCAGGCTATAAATGTGTGGTGTCTCACAAATATTCCTTCAGACTGTTTTTCTTTGGAATAAAGACACCTGCCCGATTATGGCTTTCTTCTCTTGCCCTTTCCATAGTGATGTGCAGAAACAGGCTGGGAGAAGGCGGTCTTTGGTAAACACGGAGGGGTTAAAGGGGAAACTGTTTAATAACAGT